GAGTAATCAGTAGAGAAAAGCACGAATCATCGGAATCATCGCCTTTCGCAATATTCACCTCATTGTCCTTCGGGTCCTTTTTCTTTCCATTCTCTTTCTCCTTGAGCTTCGGGCAGTCTCTCTTCCAATGTCCCTGCTCCTTGCAGAATGCACATTGGTTCTTTGTTAATTGGTGGCGGCCTCTAGACTTTGACCTCCCTCTGTTACCACCTTTCGGATATGGGCTTCTACCTCTCGTCGACAAGGCCTCGCCTGAAGTGCTAGCACGGGAAGTCTCCTTATCCTTCCTCCTCAAATCGTAGTTCGTCAAAGCGTTAGTCACTTCACTATAGCTGATAGAAGATCTCCCGTTCAACAAAGTGAGCACGAAGGTATCATACTCCTCATCCGGTAAGGAGCCCAACAAAATAATCGCCTTGTACTCATCCGATATCTTCTCATCAACATTCGCCAAGTCCGACAACAACTTCGTATAGTTGTTCACATGAGCCGCAAGCGAGGTGCCTCTGGACATCTGGAATCTGAATAACCTACGCAGCAAGTGCAATCGGTTCTCAACACTCTTCGTAAGGTACTTATTGTTGAGAATTTCCCACATCTTCATCGCAGACGTCACCCCAATCACATCATACTTCAGCTCCTGTTCCAAACAGGACCTGATCACCCCACAAGCGTTCCTATTCATCTTCTCTCATATCGCCTCATCATATTTAGGTGGCCTCTCATGGACCATGATGGTCTCTTCCAAATTCTGAGCATTGAGCGCATCATGTACGTCGCTCATCCACAAACCAAAGTTGATTTTACCGTCATACTTCACCACACTAATCTTAGTGTTCTGAAAACCAACTTGTATTGTACTCGCCATCGATTTGCTGCTTTCACCTTCTTCTCCCATTGCAAACTAACTCCAAATTGTAGAGAAAGAACAAATTTGATAGAAATTAAGAACCACCCAACTGAACCCTTGATCGGATTCCAAATAGATCTCCTATCCACACGAGGAAAGCAAAATCTCCAACGGCAACTCCTAATGCTATCTCCACCGAAGCCTAGAACTCTAAGAACCAAGCTTCACACAAAATCTTCCTCCCTCCACCTTTATCACCAAACGAAGCCTTAGACGAGCCTCCAAATTGATCTACTCCTCCAACCAAACCCTAGATCTGGAATCTGGGCTCTGATACCACTTGTTGTGCGCAGCGGAAATTTCGGCAGCACTTCGGCAGCACAACAAGAGAGTCAGATCGCAATAAGAATTCCCGTCTCACCAAGGAGACAAGAATCTGAAGCGGATATCTCAACCAAGTGAGATATCGGCTCTTCCTCTCATCAGGTCTAGGACTGACCTGTCGAGGGATCCTAAAAGCTATTACAAATCACACAAAAGCAGTACAACCAATTTTTACGTGGTTCGGCAAATTGCCTACGTCCACGGGGCAAGGAGGGGGGAGATCTACTAATAGAGGGAGAGAATACAAATAGGGTTTATAATCACTCAATCTAAACCCTCAAACAAATTCTCAAATCCCTCACAAATATCTCTCACAAAAGGATGCACAAAAGCTACACTATTTCTTCTTGCCGCAGAGAATCCCCGCAGCCAATGAAGACAACCTCAAAACCTCTGCGCACGCCTTCTTTTGCACGAACTGCAGCCGCAAAAGATTCCAAATCACCTCCTGCTCACACCATTGCCCTAGGAAACGAATAATATATATAGGCTTCAGAATCGGGTGGGCCTGCATCGCGTGATTGAAACGAAAAACAAGTGCTCACGCGGTTTCTTTTGTGCTGCTTGCAGTACTCACGTGGGAGTGGCCCACTAATCAATCCCACGAGTTCACACCATCCCCAGCCCACAAAGCCTTATGAGAGAATGCTCACCGGTCCTTGATTTGTGTGGATCTCATTGAAATTCGTGTCATAATGAGCCTATGGCGTTAGTATTCCCTATGTTTGGAGATACTGGTCATGTTTAATCCTACGATTTCGTTTTATGATTATCTGTGTCAAAGTATGACACACAAATAACACTTCCATTGTGCATTCTTTAAAAGCAGTCAAAGGGTTAGAAGCAACCATAAAACTTTTTCTTGAAAATAAATAAATAAAGGCAACCATAGAACTAACTGAGCAAAAAAGAGCAGACTCGAAAGTTATCTCGTATTTTCACTAAAATTTAAGGATTTGAATTTCTCTTCTAGTCTTCTTCTTGTCAATTATTTGATAGTAAAAAGACTACGTACTTTCTAAATTATAATCATCCATTTGTATCTAAGACAATTGTGCTTTATTTCAGATAAATAATTAGTAATATCGACGAATTTAATAAACACTAAGTATATGTCAAGTAATTTGATCCAAGAAATAAGCTCCCCATTGCCTATCTACATAAATTTCAACCAATTTGGTAAAAATTGATTTCAGATCAACCCCACCTCTCACAAAAAAAAGAAAATTAATGGTGGGTGGGGGGGTGTTTTTTTGGTGGGGGGGGGGGGGGGGGCTTTGCGTAACCTCACACCTTTATTTTATCTCACATAACAACCGCACTCCCACCTAACCCCCCAAAAAAATCTTTGTGATGTCTAACAAAACCCTCCTGAACTTTATATCATCTCACTTAACCCTCTTATGTAATTTTCAAATAACTTAAATTTTTTGGAGAGAAAAAAAATTTAAACTCTGACACTTGTTATTTACAGGCAACATACCCCTCCCCTAAATTTGGATTTTTGTCTTAAATTTTTTTAGTTATTTGCAAATTACATACGGCAGGACTGGTTAGAAAAAATCAGAGTTCAAGAAGGTTTTGTAAGATGCCCCTAAGGGCAGGAGAGTTATATAAAATAAACAAAGTTCAAGGGTTATGTGCATCACACCTCAAAGTTGTGGGTTTATTGAGAAATTACCCCTCTACTTTATACCTACATGAATTTCATACCAATTTGGTTACTCAGCAGTCATCATGTAACACAGAAATCCGGATAGGAGAATTTTTTTTAAAAGCGACCCTTTTTAAAAAATAATTAGTAAAAAACATCTTTTTGCTAAATAATTAGCGAAATCAACCTCTTTTTGGCCAGCTCACAAAGGCTGGTCAAAAAGAGGTCAATTTGTAAAATTTAGTGTTGAAAACATATGAGACTAGTAGTTCGCTAATCAACCTCTAAATACAGCCCAGAAAACATGCGGGACTAGTATTATCGTAAGTTTTCTACGCAATATCAAATAATACACGAGTGTTTTCTGAACAGTCTCAGAAATCGTGAATCTTCTCCAAAGTCTCCTTGGTCACCCCGGCCTTGGGAATGTTGATCCTCTCTCTCAGAGTCATCCCCTCATCCCTCAACCTCCTAAGAGCAGCTCCAACCGGGCTGCATTTCTCCAAAATGCAGCCCGGTTGAAGTCCAACCGAGCTCCAAATTTTGGAGCTCGGCTGCAAACCCAACCCACCAGCTGCATATTTGGAGTTTTTTCTCCAAATATGCAGCCCCATCTATTTCACTATTCCCCCTAAAAAATGTCAATATTAACCCTCATTCTCCTTAACAACATTTCATTATTCCACTTGTGTCCCATTATTATTTTTTTACTTATTTAAAATATGTGTATATATATATTAATATATTAAATATTTTTAATGAAAATAATATCATTGGAAATGTCTCGTCGATACCTTCAAAATAAGACTAATATTGAAATATAAAATCTGTATATATATATATCAATATTCACCCAAAAAAATTCCTAATTTACCCTTCAAACTAACTAACTACTTTTAGATATCTACTTATGCCTATTTAATTATTAGTTTATAATTTTTATATATTTTTAAATTAAGTAAAAGAATTGTTAAATGGAGAGAAATTGAAATGGAGTTGGAAATGGAGGAGTGTGGTTGGAGTTGTAAAGCTCTATTTTGGCATATTCCTTAGAATATGCTTTAGTGGGGACTCCAAAATGGAGCCAATGGTTGGAGTTGCTCTAAGCTTCTCATCCTCAACCGCCAGCTCCGCCAAGTCGACGCCTTTACTCTCTTCCTCTTCCCCGTCTCCTTCTCACCAGCGTTGGCAAACCCCTCTTCCCTCTCCCACGGCAGCGGAACCGATGCTGACAATTGATCCGACCGGTTCTAGCTCCGTTCCAATAATTCCCCCAATCTTGATTTAGCTGGTTCAATTCCTCCTCTTCCTCGAACCCTAACTCTAGGGTTCGTTGCCTATGGAGTATGGACGATGCGCCCCTTTGTCAAGTTGAGGGCTTGTGAGGAGGGGGTAGGGTAGATTCCATTGACTGAGCCAGGGGGCGAAGAGGATTTCGGGCGGTGTGAGGTTCTAGTATTAGGGTTAGGGTTTTGGTCGACGATGCAAGCAGAGGAGGGGGAGAGGGAGGATGAGGAGGCAAGAGCGAAAACGGGAGTAGAGAGGTATGAAGGGTCTGTGAGAGGGGAGCTCCGTGAATTTGATCGTCTAAGCAAACGCTAAACACACGGACTAGTAGTCTCAGGTTTTTTGAAGGCCAAATTCTGTAAAATCAACCTAATTTTGGCTAACCTTGATGGGCGGGCCAAAAAGATGTCGATTTTGCTAATTATTTAACAAAAATATCTTTTTTGCTAATTATTTCTTAGAAAGGTTTTTTTTTTTAATTCTCCATCTAGGTATAACCAAGTAAGATGCATCCGAGACCACAATAACCTCCACCGATTCTTTAGTAAATATCAAAATAACAAAGCCATTCGCACAGTAGCAGAAGCATAATCATTAAGGAACACTTACGACTTACGAGAACAATCTAGACATGAAGTATCTCTACAAAAGGCACCAACACAATGGCATTCAGCATCCAGAAAGGACTCAAATGTAAATTCAACCAGTAATAACATGCATGTTTATTGATACCGTCTTTTATAATCATATGTACGTTATGCAAACCTGGACACATCCAAAGTATATATCAAAAACTATAATTAAGCACAAGAAAGTTGATAATAGAGTATCGCTGCATGTCTTTTTTGTGGCAGGAGATGATGGAGGTTCACTAAACTGAATTATAAGGACATAGTAGAATACCTCCCAAACTCAAATATCTAATCACACCACAAAATTATGTAGCAGACAGCTAAACCCTCTGTTATAAAGCTATGTCCATGGCAGCATGATCAAGAACAGTACGATTTTTTACTTCGGAATCATTTACACACGCATCTGATTACGAAGTATTTACAAACACATGGACAAGTGAAAAATGCACATCTAACCTGCTCAGCACATCTAAATAAGGTACTGACATTGCTTTCCCTTCATTGCATTGATTCCTGTTGCTTTTCCTCAGACTGACGTCGAAAATAATACCTGGTACAATATAATTGTCAAAAGCAATGAATAAGATGGGGAATATAATTCCAAGCATCAGAGAGCAAGACATATAACAATAAGAAAGAGTGAAATTTTGTCAATTGACATACACAAAGATGTTAATGCCGTAGATCGATGCATACTTCCGCAGAAGACGTTCTACAGCATACCATTCAGACCGTTGTGATTGTGATCCATCTTGATAACCAATCCGTGGCATATGAATAGATGCTAATAAGAAAAAGAAGTCAGAAACTTGACCCGTCAGTTCTAACCCCTCAACAAGCAATCAGATTGAAAGAATTGAAACTCGGTTGAGAAACCCTTTCAAACCTAAAACAAAACAAAGTGGCATTCTTTCCAAATATATTTAAAGCATACGGTTACGCAGTGCATGTGAATTCTATGTGAAGAAAGAAAAGGTAGCACACCTGGTTGAGAATAGATAATAGTAATACAATTCCATACAAACCCAGCATTGTAAAAGAAAATCTCTGATAATAGACATCACTTCAACATTCCAAAATGGCTACCATTACAGTTACACACTCATACAAGTTGATCGGAACATATAAATACGTGTGTGCACGCGCGCGTGCGTGGTGAGAGAGATACCATTAGATGCAGTCATAAACAGTATTATGTTTGTCCAGCAGTTGAACGAGAACCAAGCAGGTTTCTGTTCAAAAGGAAGACAGGTGCATAGTCAACTCCTAATGATAGTTGTTTCTAACTGTTAATGCACGTCGGTGCAATAAGAGTATGAACATGGATAAAACTGAAGTTCCAGTATATAGAAATGATGGAACTGAATTTTGGTTGTATTGGAATAGAAACCCTAATCTCATTGATAAGATAACATGGGCTTATATAAGCCCTACAAAACACATCTTACATATAAGCCCCTTAACTATACTAATATGTCAACACTCCTCCTCAAGATGGGCGAAAGATATCCACTAAGCCCATCTTGTCACATCCTCTAATCATATCTACTGAGCTAAGTCCCTTAGTCAGACAATCTGCTGTCTGGTCTTTAGTTGAAACATGACTTAATTCCAGTAGTCCACTGTCCAACTTCTCTTTGATGAAGAACCTATCGATCTCGATGTGTTTGGTTCTATCACGCTGCACTGGGTTATTGGCGATACTGATGGCTGACTTGTTATCACACCACAGTTTCATCTTTGCTCCTTGATCCAGCTTCAGCTCCACCAGCATACTCTTCAACCACAACAACTCCGCAACTCCTAAGGCCATAGCTCTATATTCTGCTTCAGCTGTTGATCTCGCCACCACCTAAGGCCATAGCTCTATATTCTGCTTCAGCTGTTGATCTCGCCACCACCGACTGCTTCTTGCTCTTCTAAGAGACCAAATTGCCTCCTATAAAGATACAATATCCTAAGGCGGATCTCCTGTCATCAACACAACTAGCCCAATCAGAGTCGCAGTAACCATCAATGCTCACATGTCCATTCTTTCTGAATATCAACCCTTTTCCGGGGGCACTCTTCAAATATCTCAGAATCTGGTACACAGCGTCCATATGACCCTTCCTTGGATCATGCATGTAGCGGCTCACCACGCTCACTGCAAAAAAAATATCGGGACGTGTGTGACTCAGATAGATCAACCTGTCCACCAGCCTTTGGTATCTGTCACGATCAACTGGTTCTCCAGCTTCAGCACCCAGCTTGAACTTCTGGTCGATCGGTGTAGTTGCAGGTTTACACTCTAACATCCCTGTCTCTTTGAGAAGATCCAGTGCATACTTTCTCTGGGATAGGACAATCCCCTCTGCTCCTCGAGCTATCTCTATTCCAAGAAAGTATCGAAGCAAGCCAAGATCTTTCACCTCGAATTCCTTACCCAGTCTCACTTTGAGTTGGGCAATCTCCTTCTCATCATCCCCGGTAATAATCATATCATCCACATATACCGCAAGCATGGTGATGTGACCTTCATTTCGTCGAAAAAACACGGTATGATCGGCGTTAATCTGCCGGTATCACATACCTATCATAGCCCGTCTAAATCTGTCGAACCAAGCACGGGGAGATTGCTTCAGACCATAGAGAGACTTCTTCAATCTGCAGACCTTTCCCACTGTCTGATCTGTACCGAATCCTAGTGGTATCTCCATGTATACCTCCTCCACTAGATCTCCATGAAGAAATGCATATTAATTTTTATGGCTTTAAGTGTGAAACATAGTCTGATTATCAGTATTCAAGATTGTATTATGTATTTACCTTGCTAATTTCAGAAGTTGAATGGCGGGAGAGGACGACGATGTCGAAAGGGGCGGCGGGAGACGACGATGACAGCAAGAGTTAGGGTTTTGTTAGAATTTAATAACTTATGAGAAGTGGGAGAGTCAATCACAGCCGTTGAATTATTTTAAAAGCAATCCAAGCTATTAAACAAAATAACCTACGTTACAAAACGCCACGACGCTACGTTACGTAGCTTACGCTATGGCTAAAATAGCGCACGTTATTTTGTCCGTGCGCTATTTGAAAACGCTATGTAGCGTTAGGTTAACGCTACGTTACGTTAAGCGCTATTTTGCGCTACGAAACGCGCTATTTTCTACCCTGTCATCCACATATACTGCAAGCATGGTGATGTGACCTTCATTTCATCGGAAAAACACGGTATGATCGGCGTTAATCTGTCGGTATCCCATACCTATCATAGCCCGCCTAAATCTGTCGAACCAAGCACGGGGAGATTGCTTCAGGCCATATAGAGACTTCTTCAATTTGCAGACCTTGCCCACTGTCTGATCTGTATCGAATCCTGGCGGAATTTCCATGTATACTTCTTCCACCAGATCTCCATGAAGAAATGCATTCTTCACATCTAATTGGTGTAGCTTCCATCCACCATTTACTGCCAGAGAGATCAAGGTCCGAACAGTGCTCATCTTCACCACCGGTGCAAAAGTCTCATCATAGTCGATGCCATATGTCTGACTATATCCTTTTGCCACCAAACGAGCTTTGTAGCGCTCAACCTGTCCGTCTGGATTCTGCTTTATAGTGAAGACCCACTTGCATCCAACTGGTCTCTTCCCTTTTGGTAGTTTTACTAGCTCCCAAGTGTGGTTCTTCTCAAGAGCTCCTAGTTCCTCATGCATAGCTGATTTCCACTTTGGGTCCTTCTTAGCAACCTGCCAATTGTTAGGTACAGTAACAGAGTCCAATGATGCAATGAATGCTTCATGTGCAGGGTGGATATTAGAATATGATACAAACTGAGCAAGATCCCAACCATATCTATCGGGAGGATGTCCCGTATTGCTACGAGTAGTCCTCCGTACTGACATTGGTGTGGGAGGAGTAAGGAGAGGAATGATATCACCTTGGGAGGAATCTGATTGTGGTGTAGGTGTCTCAGGAGTCGGGACAGGCGTTGATAAGGGATCTGACACTAGTGGCGCTGTAGGTACTGTTGGCACTAGTGGCACTGTAGGTACTATTTTCGCAATTTGCTTCCCCTTCCTACTATAGGTAAGTAGCTCCCTCTGAGCCGTGGGCCTAACACCTCTTGTCTCATTATTCTCTTCTTCTTTATTCTCCTGCTCCTCCTCAACCAATTCTCCTTCCCAAGGAATCGTTAGAGAAATCGATTTTTCCACATTATTCTCTACATTATTCATCTGCCTCTCACCATCCTCCCCTTCTCGCCTCATACTTCCAGTATTAGGCGAGTCACCAACGGATGAGAGTACCTTCTGTGTGTAATATGGCTCAAATTCACGAAAGTACACATCCATGCTCACGAACAGTCTTTTCTCGTAATATGGCTCAAATTCACGAAAGTACACATCCATGCTCACGAACAGTCTTTTCTCCACCGGGCTCCAGCAAACATATCCCTTTTGAGTAGCAGAATATCCCACAAAAATGCACTTCACCGCTCTAGGGGCAAGCTTCCCGACGGATGGTCTGTTATCCTTCACAAAGCACACACAGCCAAATACCTTCAGTGGAAGAATCCCACCATTATCTCCTTTCAACGTCTCACACGGAGACTTCCAATCCAGTACTCTCGAGGGCATTCTGTTGATCAGCGCCACTGCAGTCAACACTGCTTGCCCCCACAATGTTTCTGGAACATTCATTGAGATCATCATACTTCTAGCAACCTCTAAAAGATGTCTGTTCTTCCTTTTCGCTACCCCATTCTGAGCTGGTGTGTATGGACATGTAGTCTGATGTTGTATTCCCTGAGCTGACAAGTATTCCCCAAGCGTTCTGTTGGTATACTCTGTCCCATTATCAGATCTTAATACCTTCACCACTGCTCCATATTGAGTCTGAACATACCTATGAAAGTTTTGGAAGCAACCAAACACTTCACTCTTATTTTTCATCAGGTATAACCAAGTAACGCAAGAGAAACAATCAATGAAGGTAACAAAATACTAGTATCCGTTCATAGAACTTGTGGAACAAGGTCCCCAAACATCTGAATGTATCAGATCAAATGCATGAGAACTCCTATGATCAGAACTAACATAAGAGCTTCTAGTAAGCTTTCCCAACTTACATGCATCGCACACAAGTTTCTCTTTATTTGCTTTCTCAAATAAAGATGGATACAACCTACTTAAAATACCAAAGGATGAGTGTCCCAAGCGCTGGTGATGAAGCATCAACACACTCTCGGCACTCATCTCAGATCCTACTCATTCTCTCTCTACCATTGACACCAAAGCTGAGTCCAGCCCCTCACGATCCAAGTAACACAGTCCATTACTCCACGTGCCAGTCCCAAGTCTCCGTCCTGTCCCTTTCTCCTGGAAGATCACCTTAGGAATGTCAAAAGAAACGATACATTTTAGTTGGAGGATAATAGCACTAATGGACAAAAGATTTACTGGAAAGGAAGGAGCATGCAAAACATTGGACAGAGTTACAGAACCTGGCACTAATGGACAAAAGATTTACTGGAAAGGAAGGAGCATGCAAAACATTGGACAGAGTTACAGAACCTATACAATTAACGGTACCCTTACCAACCACAGACTGAAATGTACCATCAGCTATTTGGATGCTATCTGCTGATGCTAGGTGAGTGTATGACGAGAACTCACAAGCGTTGCCCGTCACATGTCGAGATGCACCGGAGTCGACAATCCATTCTGATGGTCTATTGGGAGACATAGAAGCAAGAGCATATATGTCATCCGTACCTTTGGTCGGATGAGCATAAGTAGCAGAGTTGCCTTTGGATGTCTCCTCAGTTCCACTTCTTCTGTCTCCATATCCTGCTACTCTCTGCTTCTTCCGAAGAATCTCCAGGAGCATATGGTCCTCCTCAGTAAAGACCATCTCAGTTGCTTCCTCTTCCTCTGCTACCATCAGATTCGCCCGATTCCCTGCTCCTCTTCCCCCTCGTCGATCCCCACGGTCACGACCACGACCTCCGAACTGTCCATGTCCACCCAAATCTCCTTCCTTGGGTGGCTTGGTGCAAGCATGCCTTAGATGACCCACCGTACCGCAGTTGTAGCACTGTCGAGTCTCTCCCCTAGATCCAGTGTTGCTAGAGGCTGCCATTGCTGACTTCACCACAGGAAGTCCACCTGTCCCTGCCTGCAGCCGAATGCGAGTCTCCTCCTGGATCATAGCAGAGACAGCCTCCTCAAGCGTGGGAATCTTCGGCTGAGCTAGCAGCAATGCGATTCGCTGAGCGAACTCTGATGTCAATCCCTTGAGAAACACCATAGTCCTCTCCTGTAGAAAGGCCTCCCGCTCTTTACATCCCGGGTCCTTGCAGCTAGCCCGGAGGGGGGGGGAAATGATCATAATCCAGCCACAGGCGCTCCAACTCTGTAGCATATATTTCATGTATAGTCCTCTCTCCCTGGACTGTGGCGTCGATCTCTCCTTTAATCTGAAATACCCTCAGGTTATTCCCCACTCCATCATATGTCCTCCTCAACTTCTCCCAGACGTCTTTCACCTTCTCAATGCCATCCACCGTGACGGCGATCGTCGGGACCAACGAGTTGAGAAGCCAGATGTACACCAACATATGAGTGGACTTCCACTTATCTCTTCCCTCCGAGTCCTCCTCCGGTTCTGTCGCCTCTCCTGTCAAGTAACCCTCCAGGTTCCTCTCTGCAAGGGTGTATCTCACCCGTCGCGACCAGCTCAGGTAAGTACTCGGTCCATCAAGCTTCAGATCGATGGTCGGAAGCTCCAACTTCTTCGATGGTTTTGTCGCACTCTCACCAGCCGACAACTTCATTAGCTTCATCAAAGTTGACACCTCCGCGGGGTTCAACTTCTTGATGATCTCCTCCATCGAATAGGCTCAGACCCACCACCCATGTTCACAACCTTCTCTTCCGACCCTTGTTATAGTGCTGCAGTAAAAGCAATTTCGGCAGCACCTCTGCTGCACAACAATGACGTAGCATCTCAAACAAATTCTTCCGTTTCCAGGAGTAAACAAGAATAAAAAACAGTTATATATCTGCACGATGTGAGATTATACTCTTCTGTCATCAGTTGCGAGGACTGAGTTGAGGAACCCATGCCAAATCTAGTCCAGCATAGGCCGCAGGCAAGAGGCGGTCAAGAAGGAAGGGGGGTTGCGGAAGGTGGTAGGCAGCGAAAGGGGGTGGGCCGGACTGATCGGGGTTGGGCGCGTACGAAAGGGTTGGTTGGGGGCTGAGGTCGGATCGAACAAAGAGGGGGGGCTGCTGTCGAACAAAAAAGGGGGGCTGTTGTAGAACAACAAGAGGGGGGGGCTGCTGTCGAACAGCCAGAGGGGGGGCGGCTGTTGTCGACGAAGGGGGCTGCTGTGAACCCAGACGGGGGGCGGTGGGGCTGCCGTAGGTGGGGGGGCTTGCCGATGCGCAGAGGCGAACATTGGTCAAAAATTTGGGCGGGGGGGGCTCTGCCGTGGTTGAAGGGGCGGTTGAAGGGGGCTCCGGTGGGCCGGGAAGTGGCCAGGCTTGAGGGGGGAGGGAGGGCCGCGGCGGCTAGGGTTTTGGTGTCTCTGATACCATATTGGAATAGAAACCCTAATCTCATTGATAAGATAACATGGGTTTATATAAGCCCTACAAAACACATCTTACATATAAGCCCCTTAACTATACTAATATGTCAACAGGTTGCCATATGGAGAAGCAATGAAACGTTATCGAAGCTGCAAAGAAAGTATGAACAAAGAAATGGTTCACAAAGTAACAAGTATTGCCAAATATGAAGACCTTTCAAATAGAAAGATAGATCGTGCACATGCACATCATAGAAATATAATATAATATCAAAACCACTAGCAACTAGGTAACACAAAAATACCATATCTGAATGTTGAAAAAGTATTCCATTTACTGTAGTCTGAAACTAATACCAGAATTTTGAGCAGCTGAGAAAGACGCCTTTGACAAACATTGTTCGAGGTCAGCTATAGAGATATTGCTTCTAGGAACTTTGCGCCTAGGATTGTAAGATTGTACAACAGCTAGAGCCACCCACCGAAGAGAATCTCCATCAATAATTTTATCACCAGAAGACCCTGGAGACCAGTAAGATGAATTTGAAAGACTGTAAATATGAAGGTACAAAAGATTGCTCGATGCATAGAAATTGGTCCAAAAAAACAGCAGAAGTCAACAATTAAACATTGAAGCACAAAAGAGAATTGTACATGCACATTGAAGCACAAAAGAGAACTGTACATACATCATTCTTAAATTGCTCAATATAACAAGCAAAAATATTTTATATTCCAAATCATTACTAGGATCGCTCCCTCCTCCCTCCCTCCACACTTCCCCCTAACTCCTCCCTCCTCTCCCACCACCTCGAGAAACAACAACAAACTGGTTTTTCAATGCTGTCATGCATAAGCCCTGTATCAATAAGGGTTCTGTCCAAGCTTTTCTTCTAACTGCAACTTATTTTATCCAATCACCAGACCTATTTAATTAAAATATGGAATGTCTTCGCTCAAGATTCATCTTCCCACCTCAGAGGCATTTATCCCAAATTTTATGGTTGGCTTCATGAATCCTACTCTTCCACTCAATTTTGTTAAGGGTGTCTCTTCCATTAAGTTAATCAGCAGCATATTCTTCTTAATAGTTTTTAGCCAAATTCCCCATATCTTTTATATTTTATTACATTTTGTAAAAACTCTACCACTGCAAAAAGTATCATTCACTTCCCCCGTACATTTTACAGAAACTTTTCACCTTGACTTTCTGTTTGTCTTAACTAATTATTGATCAAGTCTGGTGTCAATGCCCTCCGCTTTGCAGTTTGCATCATGTGATTAGATCAACCATTGTTGTGAACATTATATCAGTTCCTATACTGCCTGTTCTGCAACAGATCTCTGATCTCTACACATGACTCATTTAAGATATGGAAATTAGGCTCTCCACACCAGTCAATTAAATGGTGATATTAGTTGAGGATTGCAGCCATGCGATTGCGGAATTTTTCACACTAGCATAATTATAAGTGGAATCTGAAGTAAAAGACAAACCAACTTTTTACTTGGCTAAGGGATAACGGATGACTTCATCTGGTTATAGGCTATGTTGTATTATTTGTGTAGTTTGTGGATGTATTATATACTCAGGACACCCTATGAAAAATACAGTAAACAGAGCATCATTGAAATCTGAGGACTAACCATTTAACTTTATTAAGTGCAGATCACCGGTATGAAGATCACCACATTCAAAAGCCCGGCAGTATGCATTCGGAATACTCGTTGAAAGACAAGCAAGAGCATCAAACATTCCTCCATGGCCCCATTTCCCAGAATTATCTACACAACTGCCAATTAAAGTTTTGAATAATTGAAGAAAAATATCAAACATAAACAGGTAAATGTACCTATAGTATATTGAACAACGATATGCTTGTCACATTCAGGTTTTTGGAGGAGATCGTTTCATAAATTACCTGAATATTATAGCAGACTCAGATGGACGAGTTTTCTCTGGTTTGGTACAATCTCCATACACATATTGGACAGATCCTGAATCAGATAGGATGGCACTATCAGTTACTGAAACAGGATCTTTCACAGCTAATGACTGGTAACCAAGAGCCTCCCACTTGGCCAGTCGTTTTTCCTCTGCCTTCTTCTTATCAGCCTCGCGCTTTAAATCACGCTCTTCTGACATGCCTCTTCTCCTTCCCAGTTCCAGCATGGAGCTCTCAGATGATTTAGACACGTCTTTGAACTTCTCAACCCAAGAGCGATATGCAGCCTCGTCCAATCCAGGATCAAAATTATCAGGATCAGCACTTGTAAAAAGATAATCTCTATTCGACAATTGTTTTGGATTGATCTCAAATGTGTTTCTGTCCTTCTCCGGATGCCGATGATTACGCATGTCAACCACCTTTTCAGCCATTGCATTCAGCTCCATCATATTTTCAACACTGATGTTTCCAGCGTCAACATCTGTTGGATCAAAGCTATGTAACCCAATAATAAGAGATCGCATATCACCAGCTTCAACTACTACATCTTTCCTAGTTCCAGAGGCCTCACTGTCTTGCCCAACAACATTGTTGCTGAGCTGCAATTTCCTTTCTGCTCTCCGGGTAATTACCTGAGTAAATAGCAATATATTTTGTAAGCCACAAACAAGTCCATATCAAATTATTCCAGACATGCACAAAAGCCACCTCTTTTTACCTCCTCAATGGTACGTTCTGTTACTAGATTAATTGATAATACATGGTTCATTTGACCAATGCGGTGTGCACGCTGTAAAGCCTGCTTGTCCACTTGGGGATTCCAGTCTTGCTCATAGAATATAACCTAATACCATTGTTTAATCAGCAACAATGAAATATGAACAATTATGAACACAATGCACTTCCTTTGTTAAGAATACTAATGTTACCACTGTAATGGTGTTTTAATTAAAAAGGTCGCTTAGAATTATCTAACCATTATGACTAGAATGGTTAGCCATATTTTTGGATGATGAACAAACATTTGAATCAACAAGTAAAACAACGGAAAGCAAGTTTGAGCATTTACAAAAATTTGTGATGGTATTCCTTTCTGGGAGTGCCAGTAGCCAAGATGTTCCAAATAAAAAGCCATACCAATAGTTAATGTAATTTCGGAATAGGATCGTCCATCCAGACTTTAATATACTCTTAAGCTTCTCTTTAGCCATAGTTTATTTGAAACATAATAAATTATGTCAACAGGATTATCAGTGGAACAGGAAAGCAGAGATGATCCGCCGAGAGTGCACTGAAGATGCAAATTTAATATCATGAAAGACATGCAATTACATAACACTTCAGAAAGTATATAGAAACAGTGAAGATAGAAAGTGTATCGAGTCATTTAATTTCAACCACTGGAAGAATCTGGTAACAGCTCACGAGCTATTCTCCATTTCATCAATAGTCTGCAATGGCCAGATTTTAGGCAGTTTCACTATGTTATATCATGTAATGGTTTTGAACTCTAAAGGATCAGATTAATAGTCAGAACAAGTCGGGTAAGCTGGGAAAATTTTAGATACAATAAAGGATTTATATGCTTCAAACTGTGAAATAATTTGTTAAAATAAAGGAGGACAGTATTATGCGCATTAGTAGTTCCAGTGAGCACTATCGTGTGCCGAACTACAGCACTGACCTTTTAGTGTTTTTTGGGGGTTTTATTTTATGGGCAACTAGAATCTGTGTCTTGTCATGTTAAAGTAGAAATTTTCTGCATTTGAGGCCCCCAGAAGCCTATACATAGGTTGATGGCTTCCTATCATTATTCATTTTTATGTTCAAAAGACCTTTGTAAGCAATAAAAATTGTATTTAATCCCTATCAGAGAAGTTCAGAACAAGACTGCTAAAACCTCGTCCAAAATAGAAAAAAAGGGAAAATGCTGATATCTCCCAAACCGGAAGAAATTTGACGAAACGAACGGAGGCAAACCGAACCCTTTGGGTTGGTTTGGTCAGCTCCGTCTCGTCGAGATAGGTGATTTTCATATATAACTCGTCAAATTCCGACTTACGGTTTGAAAGTTATGACCTGTTCTTCGTGGCATGTTCTAGAGCTTGCCTGCATAAGACAAGCTCGCTTGCACAGTCTCGACTGCAAAGCTCACCTGACAGCTTAAAGCTCACCTGCATGATCCAGGCTCGCCTAAAGGCAAGCTCGCCTGCACAGCCTCGCCTGCAGAGCTCACCTGACAGCTTGAAGCTCGCCTGAAAGCTAAGCTCGCCTGATTCAGGCCAAGCTCGCTTGTAGACCCTTGGTTCGCCTGCAGGGTCGCCAGCCCGCCAGCAGGGTCGCCAACTCGCCTAGCTTGTCAGCCGTCCACTTGAGGTATGGGAACGATCACATCAGTGATCACATCCCATATTTCAAGGGAGAGAGTATGGTACTCCTTATCCCATCAGTGGTCACATCCCACAAATTAAGGGGGGAGAGTATTGTGTTCCTTACCCAGGTGTGGTCATATCCTACAAATCAAGGGATTGGCCATGGCTCTCTATTTCTATAAATAGCCACACTTGGCTACATGAGAATGAGTCGTTGGTCTTCTTGAGACCTTGATCTTTTAAGGGGATGACTTGGTTTGGCCCTTTCTTAGGCCTTGGTCTTCTTTAGAAATTGACATGTTAAGTGGCTGACTGGACCTTCTTTGGGACAGCCCCCTTGGCATTTTTAAAGTCTCAATCTGAACTCTTAGATTTGGAGACTCTTAGCTCATTGGCTCTACAAACTCTTGCATTGTAGCCTTTTTGGTGCATTCGGCCTTGATACTCATCAAGATCGGGCATTCGAACACCAACCGCAACGCCGATTGGATCGTCCAAAGGAAGCAAACTCGACGCGAGCACCGAGGGAAGCGTCCTATCGCTGCCAACGAACCCACGTTAAAACAAGGAGGGTCATTCCCTTCTCCTTTGTTGTAAACATTGATTATTAGTTTGTAATAAGTTGTTCTTATAAATACAAACGACCCATCGAAACAGAAAGTCAATTTTTACCCCCAACAACCTTCAGTTCTGGTGTTATGGGAATTAAACTACAATGCCAAGTTAATGCAAAAAGATGAGTTCCTATAGTCCGGTAGCATAAGGTTATCACAAAAGGGCATATGTTTCCACTACAAGCATTTTGGACAAGACTTGGATGATGTCAAGATGTAAATCATTCAATAGTCTATTGATTTTAGTCATAGGTATATATAGGCTTATTTGATCGAGTGCTAGAAGATTAACAGGAAATATGATTTGTTTTGTGTTTCTAAATCCTGCAAAAGAAGAAGGATCATTATCTAATAAAAGAAAAAACAGGAATGTCAAAGTGTTTCCAACAAGATACATGCATATATTTGATCCCCAAATCTAATGTAGAATCAATGGCCTAGGCTCACAAAAGAGACGCTCTGACAAGCTATAGCTCCCACAAATTAAAAGTCAATCTGAAGTACCACATGATAAAAAAAGTATCCAAAGTTAATACCTAATGGCCTACCCTCATTCAAATTATCCTTTACAGAGTTGAAAGGTCTCCAGCTTTCACGGAAGATTAAAACCCGTGTATCGACATGCCGAAGGAATGCCTGCCTTACATAAAAGAAAGCTTACGAAATAGATCGGAAATTGTGAAGAGCATTATGGATTTTGTTTACTGTTGAACTGAACTTTCAAAATGCGTCTCTTGTTAAATATTGGAACGGTAGGCATTAATCATTAAGGTTTTATTTTGTCTTTTCCAGTTTTGTTAAATATATATCCTTCCAATATCTGTGCCATCTAGCCCACAAGTTAATTAGCTAAACAGGCATAATGGAACCACAAGGTACTGTATTGCCATTTTCAGAACCGGAACTAACCTATCCTGTGCCATTATGAAGCATCACACTAAATACACTCCAGACTCCAATGATAAGGTAGCAAAAGGAAGTTGGTAGGGAAAATACATCATTTAGTAGGCCAATGCTTCTGCACTACCATGGCCATAGATTATGTTGGGATAATTTAAACACAAAGCCAGAAAAATAGAGAGACAATCACAAACACAATATTTATGTGGTTCGATCAAATTGATCTACGTCCACGGCAAGAGGGTGTTTCACTATATTTTTTTCTCAAATTACAACACTCATACTAAATTTGAGAACTCACTTTCGTTGTGTGTCTCTTTCACTCTCTGTCTCTCTGCCTTTAATTCACTCAGAGATTAAAAAATCAATCAGTGAAGAGTGATTGATTTATTGAGGGGGACCACAAGGAGAAAGTGACATAAAAGACAATGACCTCTCCCCTTCCACAAAGTTTCTGCGGCAGCCACAATTGTTGAAAGAAGTGGAGAAGACAAAAGAGATGATTTGAAAATGACTTGACAGCGACCTCCTAATCCACATGAACTCTCTTTGTCAACACCTAAAGAGCCTGATGTAGTTGACAAAAACAAAGCCTTCCTCCGAAAGCTTTTCAGCCTGCCTCCATTTTTGACCTCCAGTGATGTTTGGCCAAATTCAAGCCATTATCAACAATCTCCACCTTGGATTGAATTTTCAAACATCAAAAAGTTGAATATTCATCATGAACACAACTAACGTGAGAGTACACTTCATAATAGAACAAGTGAAAACTCGACCCCCTCTTGCAAACAATGCCCCAAACGGGGCCAGCTAACAACTGCGAATGCCTCCCAAATTCAAGCAGTGCTTGAACTTGAAGGCCGGGATCGGTTTGGTCAACATGTCAGCTGGGTTGTCTGTAATACCAATCTTCTTCATCGTGATGTTTCTTTCAGCAGTTGCCTCACGAATGAAATGATATCTGACATCAATATGCTTTGTCCTCTCATGATGTGCTGAGTTTTTGCTTAGATGTATTGCGCTCTGATTGTCACAAAATACAACTGAACTAGCCTCCATGATGTGCTGAGTTTTTGCTTAGATGTATTGCGCTCTGATTGTCACAAAATACAACTGAACTAGCCTTCTGCTGAAGTCCAAGCTCCCTCACGAGATTTCTCAACCAAATTGCCTCTTTTACCACTTCTGCTGCTGCCATGTATTCTGCCTGTAGTAGACAAAGCAACTGTCGACTGTAGAGTCGATCTCCAACTAATAGCTGAGCCAGAAAGAGTAAAAAGATAACCAGTCAAAGATCTCCTTTTATCGAGATCACCTGCATAGTCAGAATCCACAAAACCTACAACTGAGGTTCCCAAAGTACTGCTATCAAAAACTAAACCCAAATCTGAGGTACCCCTGAGATACCGAAAGATCCACTTCACTGCCTCCCGGTGTGCCTTCCCTGGTTGAGCCATGTATCTGCTCACTACACTGACTACCTGGGCAATGTCTGGACGAGTGCAAATCATAGCATACATAATGCTACCCACTGCATTAGAGTATGGAACTCGGGACATCTCCTTCTTCTCGTTCTCACTTGTAGGTGAATCTGAAACCGAGAGCCTAAAGTGAGGAGCTAAAGGAGTCGTAACGGGCTTGGCCTTCTTCATCCCAAAGCGTTCAAGTACCTTTTCAATATAGCTCTTCTGTGAGAGATATAATGTTCCAGCTTTCCTGTCCCTCCTGATCTCCATACCTAAGATCTTCTTTGCTGCACCAAGATCTTTCATCTCAAACTCATCATTGAGTTGTTTCTTCAAAATAAGAATCTGTGACACGTTCTTAGCAGCAATAAGCATGTCATCGACATATAATAGAAGATAAATAAAAGAATCATCTCCTAGATGCATGTAGTACACACAACTATCATAAGTACTTCTTGAGTACCCATGACTAAGCATAAAATTATCAAACATCTTGTACCACTGTCTGAGAGATTGCTTCAGGCCGTACAAAGATTTCTTCAATCTGCAAACTTGATCTTCTTTACCTTCTACGAAGTATCCCTCTGGCTGAGACATGTAGATAGTCTCCTCAAGTTCACCATGTAAAAATACAGTCTTCACATCAAGCTGCTCAAGCTCCAGATCAAATAGAGCAACCATGGCAAGCAATACACGGATGGAGGTATGCTTCACAACCGGAGAGAACACTTCATCATAGTCAATTCCCTCCTATGCTTCACAACCGGAGAGAACACTTCATCATAGTCAATTCCCTCCTTTTGTCTATAACCCTTAGCCAACAACCATGCTTTGAATCTAGCATCTTCAACCCCTGAGATCCCTTCTTTCTTCTTAAAAATCCACTTGCATCCAATTGCCCTTTTACCCTTAGGTAATTGCACCAAATCCCAAGTCTGATTCTTGTAGAGTGACTCGATTTCTTCTGTCATAGTTGTGGCCCAACGTCCAGATTCTCCGCATGAGACAGCTTCAGTAAAGTTTGATGGCTCTTGAATACTCATCTCTTCAGCTGTCGTGAGAGCATACGCCACTAATTCAGCATGTGCATATCTTTGAGGAGGTTTGATCTGTCTCCTCTCTCTGCCAGTGGCTATGGAATAAGGTTCTTCAGTCTCAGCATCATCAGCATCTGAGCCTGAATCATGTTGTTTTTCTACAGCTGTAGGAGCAAATTTTATAGACGACTTTTGAGACGTCTCTTCCTCGAGCTCCACCTTATCCATGGTCTTCTCTACATTTCCTGTAGACTCAATAGAAACCTTCCCACGATCAAGCATATCTCTTTCATTAAAAGTAACATCTCTACTAATAATGAATTTAGGAGAATCAGGTTCAAGACTCCACAAACGATAGCCTTTAACGCCATCAGCATAACCAATAAATATGCATTTCTTAGCTCTAGGTTCAAGCTTACCCTCTCTAACATGATAGTAAGCAGGACATCCAAATACCTTTAAATTTGAATAGTCATTTGGTTTACCTGACCATACCTCATTTGGAGTCTTGTGTTCAATAACTGTAGAAGGAGACCGATTCACCAAGTAACAAGCTGTGTTAACAGTTTCAGCCCAGAAGCCTTTATCCAAGCCAGAGTTTGAGAACATACACCTAGCTCTCTCCGTCAACGTTCTATTCATGCGTTCTGCCACCCCGTTTTGCTGAGGAGTGTGCCTGACTGTGCGATGTCGTACGATCCCAGAATTTGAGCAGAACTGATTGAACTCACCACTACAGAACTCTAGGCCATTATCAGTTCGGAGACGTTTAATCTTCTTTCCAGTTTGATTCTCAACAAGTACTTTCCACTTCTTGAAAGTTTCGAACACCTCGCTTTTACGTCTGAGAAAGTAAACCCAAACTTTCCTGGAAAAATCATCAATAAACGTCAGAAAATAAAGAGCACCACCTTTTGATGGAACCTGAGCAGGTCCCCACAAATCTGAATGGATGTAGTCGAGAGTGCCCTTCGTCGTATGTGAGCCAGTCGAGAAGCTGACCCGAGTTTGCTTCCCAAACACACAATGCTCACAGAAATCCAGTGATGATGTATGATCACCACAGAGTAAGCCACGTTTACTCAAAATAGTCATCCCCTTCTCACTCATGTGGCCTAAGCGCATGTGCCACAACTGAGTAGTGTCCCTATCAGCATCAGAAGACACACCTGCAGAGCCTGTCACCGTACTGCCTTGGAGAACATAAAGACTGTTCACCTTACTACCTTTCATCACAACCAATGAACCCTTAGTAACTCTAAGAGCTCCACCTTCGCCAGTGTAAGAACACCCAATAGAATCCAAAGAACTCAAAGAAATCAGATTTTTCTTTAAGTCCGGGATGTGTCTCACATCTGATAAAGTTCTCAATATCCCATCATGACACCGGATGCGAACTGTACCAATGCCAACTGTCTTGCAAACTGTATTATTGCCCATCAAAACTGATCCACCGCTTATAGATCTGTATGTAGTGAACCAATCTTTATTTGGACACATATGAAAAGACGCACCTGTATCCAAGATCCATTCTCTATCGGAACGGCCATCCAAGGGACATACTGTAAGAACCATCTCAGCAACAACGGCAGTATCAGCCTTTGCCGTATTAGCTGAATCTGAGGTTTCACCACGCTGGTTGTCTTTCTTCTTTAGAGCATAACATTATGACTTGTAATGTCCTTTCTTGTGACAGTAGAAACACTCCACATGTTTCTTGTTTTGGGCTGATCTGGACTTCAAACGATTTCTGGATTGCCCTTTATCACCCTCTCTGGTCTTCACTCTACCTCTGGCTAGCAGACCGTCAGCCTGCCTATCGGTACCTCCCATTTAGCCTGCCTATCGGTACCTCTCCCATTCAACTTTGTTCTTAACTCAGCAGAATTCAAAGAGGCATTCACATCCTCAAGACTTATGGATTCTCTTCCATACAACATAGAGTTAACAAAGTTTTCATAAGAGTCAGGCAAGGAACATAACACAATGAGAGCCTGGTCTTCATCATCAAGCTTTAGATCCAGGTTTTTCATATCCATGACAATTTTATTAAATCAAGCTTTAGATCCAGGTTTTTCATATCCATGACAATTTTATTAAATTCATCAAGGTGTTCTTGAATAGGTGTACCTTCCTTCATTTTTAATGTGTATAGCCGCTGCTTCAGGTATAATCTCGTAGTAAGAGATTTCTTCAAGTAGAGACTTTCGAGCTTTGACCACAACCCCGCTGCCGTTTCCTCATCGGCAACTTCACGAAGCACATTGTCGGATAGTGACAATTGCAAGGCGCTGTGAGCCTTTTCGTCCATCTCTTCGATCTCGGCACTAGTCATATCTTCTGGGTATTTCCCATCGATAGCTTTAACCGTGCCTTCACGTCGCAACAAAGCCTTCATCTTTATCCTCCATAGGCCAAAATTGTTCTGGCCATCAAAGATCGACACCGAGAACTTTACGGAAGCCATTGTAGAGGATTGAAAGCTGTCCTAGAACCGAGAAGCTCTGATACCAATTTGTTGGGGAAATCACCCACTAAACCAGAGAATAGAACAATCACAAACACAATATTTACGTGGTTCGATCAAATTGATCTACGTCCACGGCAAGAGGGTGTTTCACTATATTTCTTTCTCAAATTACAACACTCATACCAAATTTGAGAACTCACTTTCGTTGTGTGTCTCTTTCACTCTCTGTCTCTCTGCCTTTAATTCACTCAGAGATTGAAAAATCAATCAGTGAAGAGTGATTGATTTATTGAGGGGGACCACAAGGAGAAAGTGACATAAAAGACAATGACCTCTCCCCTTCCACAAAGTTTCTGCGGCAGACACAATTGTTGAAAGAAGTGGAGAAGACAAAAGAGATGATTTGAAAATGACTTGACAGCGACCTCCTAATCCACATGAACTCTCTTTGTCAACACCTAAAGAGCCTGATGTAGTTGACAAAAACAAAGCCTTCCTCCGAAAGCTCTTCAGCCTGCCTCCATTTTTGACCTCCAGTGATGTTTGGCCAAATTCAAGCCATTATCAACAGATTAGATACTCCCAACTTGTCACCTACATGGGTGTAACAGCATACAGCGACTTTCTACCAATCTGCACGAATACTTGCAGCAGCTGCAACTAAACGGTTTGGGTCTAATCTTAAGTGCGTAAGTACAATTATTAATTTCAACAGCTGAAAAGATTCAATGTAGCTTAAGATCAGATACCTTAACAAACTATGAGCATGTACAAAGAAACAAATTTCAAGATTGCTAAATTGGAAACAATCCAACTGATACAATATAATACCACGCAAATACCAACAGTAAACTAGCTAGACATATACCAGGAAGAAACTAGATAAGAATAAATGTTACAGAAGGAAGTATTAGATAATAGATACTTAGATAGTACTTCTAAGTAGAATAACTCACCGTATCAGCAGCGATAAGATTAAGACCAACTCCTCCAGCTCTAGTTGAGATCATAAAAACAAATGCAGTGTCATTGTTAGCCTGAGAATTCATGGAGCCTTTAACTGGTCCAGAACTGAAGCTCCTTATCGCAGCAAACCGTTCTTCAGCACGTACAGATCCATCAAGCCGTTCATAGGTGTACTTCCGCAACTCTAGAAAGTCCTGCATTACACAAAATGCAAAAAAGAAGCCATAAAATAGACAAAATAAACTAGCTAAAATCGAGGGCTGATAAATCAAATCTAATGATGGAAGATAATTCACCTGAAGAATGTCGAGCGTATGAGTCATCTGAGCGAATAGTAGTACACGATGTCCTGCTGCATGGAGTTTCTTTAACAGCTGGTCTAAAACAATAAGTTTACCACTTGCCTGAGATACACATACAAACAGTCACTAAACACAAGATAAAACCCCACAGGTGTAAGAAATTATGAGAAATCCACCTGGCCACAGCCTAAGAAAAATACAATGAAGAAAAGACCAACAAGGTACCTGCACTAGGTGTTCACCCTCCTTGTATGGTTCAGGCTCAATACCACTGAACAAGTAAGGATGACTGCAAGCCTTTCGAAGTTGTATGACCTGAATAACAGAAGATAAAAATATGCTTGTACCGCAATAGCTGGACATAATATGAGAACAGAAATAATATTGCATATATCACCACATTCACCACAAAGAACCAGCAAATGCTCCTATTCTTTAAAATAGATTTATGTCGGAAGTTTGATCAATCTGTATTACTTATCTGAAGGACGCTCAGTTTCAAAGGATAAAAAATATAGAAAAATAAAAGAAACATAAGCTAATACTAATGAAGCCAAAATGGCAGCCCTGTTACCATGTGGAACCTCGTTCAGTAAGCAGTACTAGATGAATGACAGCAATAAATACAGGAAAGGAAGCCATTAAATGCACCAGTTAGAAGAGGTGATAAGATTATAATCAGTGAAGAAAGAGGACTAGAAATAGGGATAAGAGAGATAGCTCTTAACAGATTGAATGGACGAGTAGGATTTGTATAACCGACCCCAAAAATTTGGGATGAAGGTGTTGCTGTTCCACTTGACAGAAGACTTCAACAGATACAGGAAAGAAAAACACCTATTCTCATCAAGCTGATACAAAGAAGTTATCAGCATGGCCTCTTGCTGCATATTTTTCTTCAGGGTCTATTGGTATCTGCCTTCAACAACCAATTGTAATACAGGTAGAGGTTTATATGATCGGACAAGTTTTTGTGCTGGATAGTTATGATTATTTTTCACTTTCAACTTAAGAGGTTATTTGCAATCTGATCATCAAGTATATGGGATTATTAGGAGTTTAGTTATATCGTGAGCACGACGAAATATTGCCATCATATAATAAGGGAAGAAAAATGTCTTCAGTTACTGCTTATGTGTCCCTGAACATAACCATGTCTGACATCTTACGATAAAGGTTTTGCAGTTTGGCTTGAAGTCTGTTTAATAAGTTTGGTTTGAGCCATGTTTATATTTATCTTCTCATCAACTGAAGCTTATAAAAGTACATCAGGCAAAAGTTATAATTAATTTGAAAATTAATCGATGTTCTTTTATTTATCTTAACAAAATTCCCAAAACTTATTTCATGTCCTTGGACCTTAACTTCTTGTATGATTATCCGTTCCAGCCTCTACTCATTGCTAATCGCATCATTACTTGTTAATAGGAATTAGTTAGTTGATGTATTCTATAAGATTTTACTGTCTGCGGATTAGGAACTCTGTGAACATCATTTTTAGCTAGCTCTGACATACAGGTTTTTCAAATGGGTAAGTGTCCCCATATTTTATGAGTGATTAGATCTCTAATTTCCTTCTCCTCTATTCTCTAGGTATTCGTTGGAAATTGAATTAGATGTTTCCATGTGAGCAGCTTGCCAAGGTTTAAATTTTGCCCTCTTTAGTCCAATAACTAGAGATGAAGCCTGAATAACCAAAAACTAAACTTCAAGTTCATATAAGACCTTCAGAACTTTCATCCTCCATTTAAAACCAAATTAAACTATCTTTGAAATTATTTATAACCTCAGGGTTAGTCTATATACTACAGACTAAATACAAGCAAGTTAGAGTACATGCAGCCTTTCATTTGTAATTGCATTATGCATTAACCTCATCATAACAAGTCTTACACAAAAGGAAGAACATCAACAGCCACTAGGACAGCTAAGTTTATGTCAAATATCAGATGTGTACTACACCTTCAGATGTTAGCAGTTATAGTGACATTAAATTCATAGCCGGAGTAGGGAAAAAAAAAGAGGGGGTGACAGGTGAAGAGAGGGATCAGTATCAAACTTGGTTGTGGCTTTACACTTCTCAATCATAATTGATAACCCTCAAAGCTGCATGTGGGACCGTGTTCAACATTTCCTTTTTAGTAAGGAAGGTATCCTCGCAAGATTTTCTATAAACACTCAACAAACTCTATAATGTATGACATTTAAAGCAATGATACAAGAACTTATACAAGTATAATCTAGTTTGACATTATCTATTAAAATATGGAATTTACTGGTAATCATCTACCTGATAAATATAATTTACTGCAATTATAATATAGTGACTAAAAAAGCCGCATTAATGTAACTAAAATCAATATAAGTTTAAAAAGTCAAGAAGAAAAATTGAAGTACAATATTCTGCAATGATTGATGACTTGAAGAGGCTGATGACAATGAAAGAAGTGCTGGCAGTTCCCTCCTCAATATTGACATGTACACCTTCTTCTGCAAAGATGTCAACGGTACCATCCTATAAACAAAAGAGTTACCAATATCATTCCCCCAAAAAAATTTAGAATTTCTTTACAGATATCAGGAGATTTTCTAAATATATGACGGAAATAATAAGTTCCAAGTGGTGAAACGGACACAGTAATCTCAGTAAGGGGAGGAAGCATCAAAGTCCCACGCTCGACGAGCAAAGCCTTTGTTCTTCGAAGCATAAATGCTTTCAGGGTATATTTAAGAATTTTAAATTGCCCCTTAGCTTTGCCTGCATTATGGCCTGCAAATTAAGGATGATGCACATAATGATTCACAATGTGTCCCTATCTGAATGTAAAGTGAAATGGTGTATGATAGTCGCGGCTGCCAATGGGTACATATACATGTATATAGCTCATACAAAAGGATCACTAAATTGAACATCTATCACAAGGACATTATAATAGATTATTATCAATGCCAACTATGCAATCT